ATATCATGTTTTTGTTGTTTTCATATCATGTTTTTGTCGTTTTTATATCATGCCTCTGTTATTGTTATATCCTTTTGTTACTGTTTATTTATTAATAAATTTATATATTATTTTCATATACATTTTACTAATTTCCTTTCATCTCTCACACTTCTATTATAGAGAAAGGGCAAATAGCAATATTAAAATATTTCCGCTAATTAATTCCCTTTTTAAAAAAAAATATTTTATTGATTTTTTTACAGAGAGGAAGGGAGAGGGATAGAGAGTTAGAAACATTGATGAGAGAGAAACATGGATCAGCTGCCTCCTGCACACTCCCCACTGGGGATGTGCCTGCAACCAAGGTACATGCCCTTGACCGGAATCGAACCTGGGACCCTTGAGTCTGCAGGCCGATGCTCTATCCACTGAGCCAAACCAGTTAGGGCAATTAATTCCCTTTTAATGTGCACGAATTTTGTGCACCGGATTACTAATCTTTTCATATATCTGTTAGCCATTAAGAAACAGTGTTTTTACACATATCCTTGAATATGCATAGAATATTCCAGGAAGATATTCACAAAGCTGATTAATAATATTTACAACTGCCCAGTCAGTGTGGCTCAGTGTTTGAGCATCGACCCATGAATCAAGAAGTCACAGTTGGATTCCCTGTCAGGGCACATGCCCGGGTTGCAGGCTCGATCCCTAGTGTGGGGTGTGCAGGAGTCAGCCAATCAGTGATTCTCATCATTGATATTTCCCTCACTCCATCTTCTTTCCTCTCTCTAAAATCAATAAAAAACTTTTTAAAAAATTAAATAAAATAATGATTACCCCCAGGGAGAGGAACAGGAAAGGCAGACTTCCCTTTAGCTACGTGTCTTCTCTGGACCTTTTGAGGATCATGCCAAGTGCATTTATTGTCTTTTCACACTAATACGTTGTTGTAAAAGCTCCTCTGGTGACTCTGATGAGCTTGAGAACCTGTGTACATACATGTGTGCACACACCTGGCCTGAGCTGGTCCTGATGTCACAAGTTCACCTGTGCTGCTGTGCCCTTTGGTTTTGTAGAGGCACTCAACCTACAGCGGCGTTCGCCCAGCCAGCAAAGGAGTGGCCCAGCGCTTGGACCTTCCCGACCTTCCCCTCTCAGGTAAATCATCTTCAGCGTGATCACTTACTTTTTTGTGGGGTTCCCTTTTCTTAGCATGAACCAAGCTTAGAAAAATAGTCCGTGGCGTTTATTCCAGACGATTTCAAGCTCTCAGTGTGTGTGATGAGGGGTGAGAGCCTGCTTCCTGCGCGGTGCCCTTCTCCCTGTCAGGGCTCCGGAGCAGCGTCCGGCTGTGGGAGCTGTGTGTGTGTGTGTGTGTGTGAGTGTGTGTGTTTGTTTGTTTTATACTGAATCTCAGGAAAATAAAAAAAGTATTTTAAGAAAAAACTTAGATCTGATTCTGACAGTCTATTGCTTCCATAATTTCTAAAATATGACTTTTGAGATATTTTTGTCTTTGAGAATAATCCTCATCCACGTATTGTTGAAAGTCACATCTTAACAAGGAAGTGCTGGTTGTAGCTGTAGTCCTCAGTGTCACATGTTCACTCCTGCTATGCCTCCCCCGCTGAAAGCCACGCAGAGTTACGGGGCACTCGGTTACAGGGCACTCGGTTACGGGGCACTTGGTACAGGGCACTCGGTTACGGGGCACACGCTTACGGGGCACTGGGTACAGGGCACTCGGTTACGGGGCACACACTTACGGGGCACTCGGTTACGGGGCACACGGTTACGGGGCACTTGGTTACGGGGCACACGGTTATGGGGCACACAGTTATGGGGCACTCGGTAATGGGGCACTCGGTTACGGGGCACACGGTTACGGGGCACTTGGTACAGGGCACTCGGTTACGGGGCACTCGGTTACGGGGCACTTGGTACAGGGCACTCAGTTACGGGGCACTCGGTTACGGGGCACACGCTTACAGGGCACTCGGTTACGGGGCACTCAGTTACGGGGCACTCGGTACAGGGCACTCAGTTACGGGGCACTCGGTTACAGGGCACACGCTTACGGGGCACTCGGTACAGGGCACTCGTGTGTGTGTGTGTGAGTGTGTGTGTTTGTTTGTTTTATACTGAATCTCAGGAAAATAAAAAAAGTATTTTAAGAAAAAACTTAGATCTGATTCTGACAGTCTATTGCTTCCATAATTTCTAAAATATGACTTTTGAGATATTTTTGTCTTTGAGAATAATCCTCATCCATGTATTGTTGAAAGTCACATCTTGACAAGGAAGTGCTGGTTGTAGCTGTAGTCCTCAGTGTCACATGTTCACTCCTGCTATGCCTCCCCCGCTGAAAGCCACACAGAGTTACGGGGCACTCGGTTACGGGGCACACGCTTACGGGGAACACGGTTATGGGGCACTCGGTAGAGGGCATTCGGTTACGGGGCACTCGGTTACGGGGCACTCAGTTACGGGGCACACGGTTACGGGGCACTCAGTTACGGGGCACTCAGTTACGGGGCACACGCTTACGGGGCACTCGGTTACGGGGCACACGCTTACGGGGCACTCGGTTACGGGGCACACGCTTACGGGGCACTCGGTTACGGGGCACACGCTTACGGGGCACTCGGTTACGGGGCACACGCTTACGGGGCACACGGTTACGGGGCACACGCTTACGGGGCACACGGTTACGGGGCACTCGGTTATGGGGCACACGTTTACGGGGCACACGCTTACGGGGCACTCGGTTACGGGGCACACGCTTATGAGGCACTCGGTTACAGGGGACCCAGGAGTGGGACTGCTGGGTTTGAGCCTGGCACTGCCACCTGCAGCCTGGCTGTGGCCATGTTATGCCACCTCTGTGCTGTGCTCCCTCCTCTCCAAAGTACAGAGAATGCTGTCTGCCCAGTAGACGGCTGCAAGGGTTGAGTGGACTTGGCCCCGGGGCCTAGTGCTGCAGCATGGTCGCTCTTGTCACCGGGCCCACTGTCTCTGCACATCGGCTCACCTGCAGGACAGAGACCGTAGCAGCATGTGAAGGCTGTCCAGACTGCACACCTGAGCCATTTATCTCTGTGTCTGCGTGGTCACTGTTATGAGGAAGCAAAAATGACAAGAACACTAACTGGCTATTTACTAGTGCCTGTCGGAAGGAGAGAAAGCCAAATATCGGATCGCATAGGTAGAAGTCCTTTGCTCCTAAGTTAAGATAGAACTTCTGTAACATGGTGTGAATAAAAGCACATTCCTACTGCACTTCTTTTGGATCATGGTCACACATGGACAGATTTAATTCTGAAAATAGTTGTTTCTATGAGATAAGTTTTACTCTTTGTAAATTCTTTTACCTTACTACCTTATTTTTTCCCTTCTGAGTTCTGTTTTCTTGTTCACGGAATTAAGGATTTTAGACTGAGATAAATACTGACATCGAGAATTTCAGGTTACCTGGGCCTGTGCGCTGCAGCTGACATGTGAGAGACCCAGCCCTATGAAGATAGGGCCACACTGATTTTACACGGCTGCAGGACCAGGATGCGAGTTTTCCTCATCTTCTCCCCCAGTGTGGCCTTTCGGTCATGAGGCTGGTGATTGCTCTGATTCACAGCTTCATAAAGGAATGATAAAGGCTTACAAAGGATTTCGCTTCATAGTAATGATGCCAGGAAGAAGGAAATGGTGACCAAGGACCAGTGGGTAGTCCAAGGTTGGCAGAGTGAGGAAAACAGAGAAGGGGTGAGTGAGGCCCAGAGCAGGTTGCTATTCCTGTGCCAACCGAGTGTCCCTCTGAGGAATGGAGGGAGGTCAAAGCAGAGCACTGGGCGCCTGCCGGCCTGCCGTTTGCACGCGCTGAGTGGTGTGACGGGAGCAGCTTGCCTGCAGGCACAGTGCTGGGCGTCATAGGCACGTGTGGCTTTGACTGTGGTAAATACCTATGACATAGTATTTATTATCTTAACCATTTCAAGTGTAGTAGGTGAGCTTTTGGTCACAATATTTGTGTCTTTTCCGTTCTTCCAGCTTTAAAATTCCCATTTGTGTAGAGAAAGCCTTCTAATTGACCAGGTAAATGCTGACGCTGAGACCACAGCAGCCATTGCCTCCGAGTGACTAGTTCGTTGGCAACGCCCCGCTCCCCACCTGGCACTGTCTGCCCCACCTGGCACTGTCTGCCCCACCTGGCACTGTCTGCCGGGTGCTTCTGTTTACTATCCGAGAAGGATTACATGTGAAAATTGCTTGCTTTCAGGCTGGACAACACCGAGTCATCAGAAACTGTAGAAATGGGATTAATGTGTGTTTTTGTTGTTTTCTTTAGTGGTGTAAACACTGTTTTCCCTGCTCTTCCAGCTCCCCATAATTGGTGGCTGTTAGGTGTACGAATAGTATTTTCTTCCACGACTATTTAAGGTGCCCGAGGAGGTGACTGAGGGCTCGCCTGTGGCACTGAGCAGGTTGCTTCATTCTCTGAGCTCCCCTTTCCTTTGTAAATACAAACTAGACAGCCCAGAATGTTCTCCGCCCGATGCCTTGGGGCCCATTAAGAAATGTCAGCTGGAATCAGCCTGCTTTGTTACCTGTTTTGACGCAGACAAATGTGACAGCAGAGAGGAGCCTGAAAAGACTTCCTTTTGCTTCTTTTTAGAAAGTCAGGCTTTTTCTCCTGTAAAATAATTGTCGTTCTTGGTTCCCAGTTCTGTCTGCTGCCACCTGTGACCTGATGGTCCCTTAGGCACCTTCCTACCAGCCCCCTCTCAGATGCCCATCAGTGAAAGCCGAGTACCGGCCGCAAGGACAGAGCTGGCTCCGTGGGCATTGACCTGTGCAGTGGCACAGGCTCTTAATAAGGGCGCAGGTCCAGCGCTCTGGTGCGTCTTGAAATTCTGAATGATTTCTAAAATGGGGATAATTTGGCATTAGTCCCTTTGAATTATATAGTCATCCCTGCCTGAGCAGTCCTTTCCAGAAAATATCACTTCCCTATTTGCATTTTTATTGCTTATCCAGAAACTATATCTGTTATCTATTCGTATTGGGAATAAAATGAGAATTGTACTGTACAAACTCAGGTACCACGTTTTAAAAAGTGCGATGACCAGTCAGACCCTGTCCTTCGGGAGTAGTGATCGTGTTGTTGTGCACACAGGTCTTCTAAAGGGAAGAGCTGACGACCTGAAGCCGGACCCTTACCTCCGCAAGAGCCCCTCCCTGGAGTCGCTGAGCAGACCCCCGGCCCTGGGCTTCGGAAGCACGAGGCTGCTGAGCACGTCCACCGGGGGCTTGAGGCCACACAGCAAACTCAGGTACCACGTTATAAACTGAGAAATCAGACAGACAGTGGGCCGATGCCCTTGGGTCTTCCTTCGTTTATGCCTTTTGTTACAGAATTTACCAGGCAACCAAAAAATACACAGGAGTACCCGGAGATACAGGAAAACCCCATTTATATCCAGATGTACTAGTACCGTGACTCAGGGGAGCCTGTTTCCAAATTTTGAGCAAACTGATATGGAGGAAGTTTTCTCTTTATACCCTTTGGCTTCTTTGTCCCCAAATAAGGATCAGACTTCCGGACCTTTCCGGGCTTTGCAAAAAGCCCCATGTGTTGGGATGGCGCCAGCACTGATAACCCCCTCCGGGGGTTGCGTATGGTTCATGGTTTATGGCCTCTGTAAAATCTAAGTATTTAGGTAAATAGGTCTTGCAAGACCAGATAATTAGGGAAGGGGCAGTGACTAGATTATAGGCTAACAGGAATGTGCATTAAGGATATTGATTAACTAGGTACAGAGTCAGGCTGCTAGCTCCCTCCCCCCCAAAAATGTCTTATTTTCCTCATCATTCCCTGCCCCCCTTGATCCTCAAGCTGATTTTCAGCCTTGGGGATTCAATAGAAGACTCAAAGCTAGGGAGTAGGGTGTTCAGCAACTTGAGTTTTTTTCATTTTTATTGCCCAAGGGATTGTGATGGCAGTCCAGAGATCTGGTCTGGAGTAACATCCGAGGCTTCAGGGCTTATTGATTCTCTCTATTAGCTGTTCTAAAACCTGTTGGCTTTCTTAGAGGAAGGGAGAGGGAGTCTATACAGGTTTCTTCATTTTCGGCTTCAGAGCAGTTGGAGTGGTGAGAAGCACGTCATTCCTCATCACTTATGGTCACTGTACTTCTACACATATTTCCTGGATGAAAACAGTTAAGACCCAGTGCCTGCCTTCAGCAAGGGAGAGGCTCTGCACGATAGATGCAGAGTGACGTGAGGGCTGTGGGGCAAGGAGCTAGCTGGTGCTCGGTGCTGCTGTTGGACCAGGAAGTCGGGGAGAGGAAGCAGTAGTTCTGCCGGCGCCTGCAGGGGTCCACGCTCTGGCACGAGCCGGATGTGGTGTTAGTCAGTGAGACTGGACCGCGGGCTGCAGTGGTTGGGGAGTCTGGCGCGTGTGTGGTAGACTTCCTGCCAGTATGGGCTGGGAGGTGGGTCCTTAGGACGTCACACCAGGAAAGGCTGGTGGGAGCCACAGTGCAAATGCCAATGTCAGATGCTGGCACTCGTTTTGGTAAAGCAGTGGGAGCCACCAAGTGTGTGGAGGTCTGGTTTTGATGTGTGTTGTGGTAGTAGGACAGTAAACAGTGGCTGCAAGAAATGGGAGGGGTATTGCTAAGGCTGTTTAGAGGGTGCTTCACCGGGAGGTGAGGGCTGGAGTGGGCGATGGAGTGGGCAGAGACCGCCGGGTGGGCACAAAAGGCTGTCTTTGCTTTCACAAATCTGCCACCGCCTCCCCTCCGTCATGTCCTGCTTCTCCGCGTGGAGTCAGCCTCTGGAACACTGGGTGCTTCCTGTGCAGCTGTGTCAGACACCTCCACGTGGGTTCACATTCCACCCGTCTCCGGTTCTCCTCAAGCTAGCCTCCCCCACCCCCCATGTGCAGAATGTCCCTGCCCCTCACTCAGCAAAGCCTGTTCTTCCTCTGCCTTTGCAGCTTGATGCAGGCACTTCTGATGCCGCCAAGGTTCCAGCCGCAGAGTCTGCCTTGTGGCCTTGAACTCCTGAGCACCTCTCCTTCCAGGGCAATCTGTGCATGAGGTTTCACTAACCACCTGGCGGCATCAGCACCCCTTTTCTTTGCCTGAGGCATCTCCCACTCATTTGGGTGTTTAACTGTGCATAGCAGCATGCCTTCGCCCTTATTAGGACTGTAATTTAGTGGATCTTAAATTCTTTGTGTTACATTTTTATGTCATTCTCAACTTCTTGTGTTGTGGTACACCCATAGCATTTCACTCAATAAATAGGTAGATATTAAAAATAGGTAGATAGCTCGGCTGGTATGGATCAATGGTTGAGAGTCGACCTATGAACCAGGAGGTCACAATTCAATTCCTGGTCAGGGTACATGCCCAGGTTTTGGGCTCGATCCCCAGTAGGGGACATGCAGGAGGCAGCCAATCAATGATTCTCTCTCATCATTGATGTTTCTATTTCTCTCTCCCTCTCCCTTCCTCTCTGAAATCAATAATTAAAAAAAAATTATAAAAATCAAACAAACAAAAGAATAGGTAGGTAGATGAGTATACAGAATTGGCTATCTTAGGAGTAATGGCTTTTTAACAGACATTGCAACCACCATCTACACTAATAAAAGAGAAACATGGTAATTGGCGTACAACCGCTACCCTTTTCATTGGCTAATCAGTGAGTATATGCAAATTAACTGTCAGCCAAGATGGCGGCCGGCAGCCAGGCACTGAAGCGAGCAGGGAGGCTTGCTTGCTGCAGACTCCAAC